GTAAAGAGACCCCCTACGGTGCCTGACAGATCTTACAAATCTCATTTACGGGCTAATTGCCCGTCGGCAGTAGTGCGTGTAATGCCCTTAGGCAAAAGCTCACCGACGAACAACGGCGCTTGGTCGCCCAACGGAGGCGCGAGACGTTTCCTAAACCATCTAATGCCATGCAATTCCATAACCTTTACGGATTTCCTAGAATTGGATGGAATTGAAAATTTCTTTTTTGGATTCCATGGGATTGGACCATCTCATTTCGAATCCCATCTAATTTCATCTAATTCCGCCAAAAAAGGGATTCAAAGGTATTAAAAAATTTTAATATCTTTTAATCCTTTTGCGTTTGCTGGGATAGCTCTTAAAAACACAGGCAACCGTTATTTTAATAAAATATTAATATAAATATTACTTTCCAGTAAAGAATATCTTCTTAAATATGTTAATTAGCTTCATGTTACGTTTCTTAAACTTTTGGCAGAGATCTTACGGGTCATACAACCTTAACTAACGATATCAGGGCGGGCTTCCTTAAAGGAGCTTACACGGCGGCTGCATTCCTGGACATCGACGGCGCTTTCGACAATGTTCTTCCTCACATACTGATCCGGGATCTTTATAATGAAGGAGTTCCAGCTCGCTTCCGTAAATTCACCCTCAACCTAATTGGGAATAGGATAATCTTCTACGTCCAGAACGGCGTCAAGTCCAGTCCTTTTCATGCAAGAGAAAGGGAACACCCCAGGGATCGATTCTGAGCCCAACGCTCTTTAATGTCTACCTCAGGGACATCGTTCGGTTGATCAACCCTAACTGCAAATATTATTGTATGCCGACGACATTGTTATCTACTCAACAGATAAAAATCTCGACAAGGCCGTACAGGCCATTAACGAGTCAATGCAGAAAATATCAGCCTTCCTCTCGAGTAAAGGACTTTCGCTCTCATCGGCCAACTCTCAAGCAATGATATTTTCACGAAGAAGGACTTTGCCTCTCTTCATCCCTGACATTGTTATCAACAGTGACTCAATCAGCTATAGTGAAGTAGTAAAATTTTTGGGCATATTTATCGACTCCAAATTAAGCGGCAAACCGCATTTCACTCATGTCATTACCAAATGCAGAAGAGCTCTCAACATTATGTCTGCTCTGGCCGGGGTTTGGTGGGGAGCCCATCCCCAACATCTTATGATGATATTCAAAGGCATCATTAGGAGCAATATAGATTACGGCTGTCAGATCTTTCAATTGTCTGGTAACCTGACCATTTTTGAAAAACTCCAAAGGTTACAATATAAGGCTATTCGCATTGATTACGGTTACCGCCATTCCACGCCAATAAATGTTTTATTAGATGAGGCCAAGGAGCCCCCTCTGCATTACAGATTTAATTACTTGACTGCTAAACTGGTCCTCAAGAATATTGCGCAGGAATTTAGCCCGGTTACCATCGGTTTGGACGAGCTAATCCCGCTCGCCAGATCTCCTCGCAACTGTGAGAAAGCTTGCAAGATCATCCCCTCGTTCAGGTACTGCCATGCCATCATCGGCAAAACGAGCAAAATTCATCACACCGTATCCCTACCAGTATTCAGCCACAGTTTCCTATCTCTAATCCACAATATTCAGTACACACCTTTACTTTTTCATTCGGACATACAAAATGTGAATTCTCTCTTCCTAGAGTGTACGAAAGATTTAAGGAAGGACGCTATCACGTTTTACACGGACGGCTCTAAGGATGATTCGGGATTCGTCTCTCAGCGCAGGTATATATTCGCCAGAATTAAAGATCCAGGTCATGCACAAATTGCCTATGGAGACCATCATTTTCTCTGCTGAGGCTTGGGCCATCCTCCAGGCGCTCATCATCATCTGGCAGCAAGACTTCGAAAAGGTTGTAATTTTTTCAGACTCCAAAAGCGTGTTGGAGAACGTTTGCTCGAACGCGGCAAACCAGCTAAACTACATTGTCCCTTGGATTAAGGAGAAAGCAATCAACTTTCGACCAAAGACACCAACCTTCGTCTAATTTGGATCCCAGCCCACCGGGGTATTTCTAGTAACGAAATCGCAGACAAAACTGCTAAAACCGCCTCGAGAAGAGGCTATGTTCCAGATTATAGAATTCCGCACTCTGATTTCTATTCAGTTGCTAGGGAAACCCTCCGTAAACGGGTTAGCGAGTATTTACGCTGTTGCGGTTCTTTCAAAGGCATCTATTTCTATAACAATGTTCATACAGGCAAAGACCGTCCTTGGTTTCATAAAAAACCATTTAAGCGTAAAGAAATAATCTTAATTAATAGACTGCGCAGTGGACACTACAACCTAAATCACAGCCTAGCTAGAAAAAATATAATAGATTCCGGTGCATGCCCTTGTGGCAATCTCAAACAAGATATGAATCACGTCATTTTTAATTGCTCTCTTTACTCCGATAAGGCCTCGCGCTTAGTTAGATATATGGAGGAATCTATTCCTCACTCTAGTGACATACTTCCTTTCTTATGCAATCCTACTCATCAATTCATTCGCCTCCTTCTTGCTGTTTGTAAGTCTATGGACCTTCAGCCTTAACCTCCTTCCCGCGCAGGAAGTGGGGGCCGCTACGTTCGTGCCGGACTTGCGTGTCGTCGCGCGCGGTGACCGCCGTCCGGTTTACTTTCTCGAAGTCGCGCCATCCGTGGCCCGCGACATTGACTAGACAAACCGCCTGCGGTTTCTACGACAATTGGTTCGTCCTGGCCATCTTTGGAGCTGTACAGCTCGAAGGCCATAAAAAAAGAAGAAGAAGAAGAAGAAGAAGGCTTGGTCACGACTTCGCCCTGAACACAAGTTTTAGGTTTGGTCGCTTATAAAATAATAGAAATCAATGAAAATAAAAAAACTGCACGGGATTCGTGTTCAGCATGCATCACTCTTTAGAGTAAGCGAAAACACGTTTGCTTCGATAAGAATCACAACATGGCACGTAACCTCACTAAACTCCGTTGGTCACGTAAGCACCATAAGCCGCGTTTACAGTATGAATGACGAGTTTGCACAACATACAGATTTCGAGATAATTGCAAAAACGACTCCGCCCCGGTCTCCTCTATATATTTTTTTCCCAACTTATTAAACTGCGCACCGATTCTTCGACGGATTTGAAACATTAAAATACCTCCCCGTAATAAAATCGATTCAAATTAACTATCTAAATAACTGTAAAGAATTTATTGCGAAAAATATATATTAACTCAGCTAGGGTTCGAACTTGGAACTTCCCTCATTCCGTGAAGGGTGTCGTACCAATTCGACTACTGAGGCATGTGATACTATATTTATCGCAATAGAATAAAATTTTATTTTAATAAGGATGCAGAATCCACACAACTGTCTGTGTTATCGGTGCCATCTTCAATTGATTCCTGAAACTAGACTTGAAACTGTACAGCAAAAAAAAGAAAAAAATGTAGACCATGAAGAATCGTCATGTACTAACATTCAAGAAAAGTTCCAAAAAATGCAGAAACTATATAAAAAATCAGAAAAATTGCGTATTTCAATGAAGAAACGTTATAAACAGTCACAAGTGGCATGAAAGAAAAAAATGAAGAAAATACAGGAAAAATTATGTATTGCTGAAAAAATTCCAAACGCAGTTCGGAAAATATTCAATGAAGATCAAATGAAAATGTTAACTCTTCAATTAAAAAAAATGCCTAAGTGGTGTGATGCGACACTAATTAAAGGGTATCGATTTTTGCTTGCGGTAATTTAGGATATCGCGAATTATTAACCCAAGGACTTCCACTTCCTTCATTTAGAACATTAAATAGAAAATTAGAAAACCGGAAATTTTTGAGCGGAATAAGTAATAAAATTTTTTATTTTTTAAGCGTAAAAGTTTCGCAATTTCAAAATGACATTGACAAAGATTGTTTAATAGTTCTGGATGAAGTAATAACACCAGCTAAAACATATGATACATCTACTAATACATTCATAGAATACATTCATAGGAAATGTATCTTTGCCAGGGCATGACGGTAATTAAGTAGCGACACATGCTCTAGTTACTCTAGTATTTATGCTTGCGGGTATTGGACAGAGATGGAAGCAATGTTGGATATTTTATACAGGAAATAGTACAGACGGATCTATTTATAAATATTTAATATTAAAAATAATTGAAAAAGCGAATGAAATAAGTTCACATGTCCATGGAATTGTATCCGACATGGGTTCACCGAATCAAGCGATGTGGAAATCCTTTGGCATTAATGTTTCGAGATATTCCACTGCGCAAAATAAATGTCAACACCCACTATACAATACTCAACATCTGTTTTTTTTTCACGACGTTTGTCACGCATTAAAAAATTTAAAAGAAGGAATACTCAATCATGTAAATGTTAATATTCCTTCCAAATTTGTTGAAAAATATAAATTGCCTACAAACATCGTAAACTCACAGCATTTAATACAATTGGTCAATTTGCAAAAAGATTGGGACTTACTGCTTGTATCCAAGTTACGCGAGGAATACTTAGATAGATCTAGACATTTTACGAACATGAGGGTAAAGAGCGCATGCCACGTTTTGAGTCCAGAAGTGAGTTCTGCGCTGAACTATGTAGCTGATGAATACGATCGACAAAAGTATAAAACAACTTCTTGGCTAGTTTCACAAATTGCAAAATGGTTTAAAATTGTCAGCGCCAAAAATCTCACTTTTGCACTTACAAGGGAACGGTCGGAAGTGTCTTTCACCGATTTGGATGGGCTTTGGATATGTTGTAGAGCATTAAAAAATATTAGACACGTATTTTTTTAGCGGCTTATCTCGACGTTTAGGGATTGAAACAACCCCTCGAAAATAACGAATTTTATAGTTTTTAGCGAATATCTTCGAAAATATAAGGCGTAACGA